GTACATATATGTATAAAGTACATGTGCCTACTTGAAATTCAGAAAACGAAGGGTGGCAGGCCAGGGAAAAGCAGAATACACAGGGAAAGGCCCAGAACATTCGTGTAAAAGTTTACTTTGCAAAACTGGGGCAATGTCCCGAATGTGTGATTCTGTGTACAATCCACTCAAGGGGCGGAATAAAGGAGGCAGGGCAAAGATTCGGTAAAGGTGAACTTTGTACTCTAGCATGTCTACCACATTCTTTGCTTGCCAATGCACATGTACTGGTACAGTACATCAAACAATGAACCTCCTTCTTGTAAATGGCAGGACAACCCTCTGATCTGATAAAATAAAGTAGGCCTAATGCAATGCTTGCAGCCAATGGGCCAGTGGAAAAACAGATGGTGCCGAGCATACAGATCCAACGGCCACGTTCAATGTGAACTGCATGTAATCACTATGAGATTGGTACATGTACATGTACTTGTAAAGTTCTGCATGTCGGACGGAATCAAACCACATAATGAGTTACACAAATTATACATGCATATGGAGCAAGGGGAAAACATTTCATTGAATTTTCTGCAGGCAAACCTCCACATGTATGAACTCCAATCTTTGATTTTTTTTTTAAGATTAACTTAATGATGATTCCTGTGGATTTCCTCTGCATAGCAGTTGAAATAAAATATACATAATTAATTTCTTACACTCAAGCAGTGGTAAGAATAATTTCATGGGATGACACATGAAATGTTCCATTTCATAAGGGGGAAAATTGGTGTAAAATGACCACAAAGAGTTGCTCTAAAACTCCTAAAGGCTAAACTTAAAAGAAAAAAAGGCACTGCCGCAATATCGGGAAAAAATGTTGAGGGGAGCAACTCTTTTAGGGTTAAAGACTAGACCATTCAACTTTGGAAAAGCTGAAATTGTCTCTGTGAAGTTGTGGATGTGGTTAGGTCTACTGTACCTAAATGGCGACTTTCCAGCTGATATGTTTAAAAAACTTGATTGGCTTCCTTATCCAGCGAGAGTTAATAATACGAAAGCTGTATCTTGTTTTTAAAAGTAATTCTTTGACATGCCACGTGCTTAAGGTCGAGAAACTTGTCAATCTCCTGAGAAGAAACTGAAAATTCCTTTTGCATGAAAGGATTCTTATGCTTCGAGCTTTGCTGTATCTGGCCTCATTATCTGGAATAATCTGAATGCTCGACTTAGTTATGTCTTCTTTGAGCCTATTCAAATCAGCACTTCATCAAACATATGGTACATACATTGTACATGTATATGTCCCGGGTACATAACATTTATGGATTACAAATTTAAGGGAGAGAAGTTGAATCTGGGGAGTTGTACAACTTGGTAGCTTTAAATCAAGTTTCCATTCAGGACTTGGAAGGGAATTCTCCTGTTTATTTATCAAAAAAATGTTTTGTTTTTTGTGGGATTTTCGCTCGCCCCAACAAGGCATGAGTGTCGTTGTTGCAGTATTATACATGTACTTATTGTTTTTCGTTTATTGTGCACTTTGCATGTGCTTTGTCTTTCTAGCAAATTTCACCATGTTGATGTTCCGTGTGTTTTGGTGTCCCCTGTTAGAGTTAGTGTTTGTATGTAATTGTGAAGGTGTCTAATTTTAAACTTTTGTTTCTACAGTATATACAGTATGTATCATTTTTATGAGTGTTTTTGCCTGGCCTCAATGGAAACCAGTTTTAGTACACTGGGCATACCCTGGATATATAAAATAAATAAATAAATGAATAAATACCAGTATTTTCAAAACTTGTTGATAAAACTCCAGAATTGTGGTGGCTGGATACCTGACACTTTCCCAAAGGTTACTCTTTTGGCACCTAACACTGACTCTTGCTACTAGTGTGACATGATGTTCCAACTATAGTTTTGCAGTGCGGCTAGCCCAACTAAAGTCAGCAAATTTCTATGGGAAATTTCTCAACCTTCTCCAGGCTTTTGCGGCTCACACCTAATGGAATTCATCCAAACTAGGCAACCTACTGTAATGTAACATTTCAACCATGATGCGAACAAAAACTGGATTCTGCCCGCAGTGTTTGATGTTTGACATTTTGATATTCGATGTTCAACATGTACCTGTAACCATTTGACATTCAACTTTGAATAAGCAACAGTTTGAGATTTGGCAAGTGCTCAGGATGCACATCCCTACTTGTAGAAACAAAGTGCAAAAGGGACAAAAAACAAACTGCATCACCTGCATTTGAGGGCATGTTTGACCTCGAAAAACCCCATACCCTGGACTGTAAGGAGTCCTGGGTGATTGGGGAGAACAGTGAGATCAGTTTCAATGTAATCTGGAGGCGGGACATGTGTTTGTATTTTATTTTGATTTGAGAAAAGTTTGGTGTGATGCATTCACTTTCCTACTGTAGTTTGCAAATGAAGAACTCCACCAACAAGACTTTAAGCCATTTCAACTGTGGAAACCACGTTTCCCCGGTTGAAATGGGAGCAGGGGAGGCCTAAAGTGCACAGAAACACTTTGAAAGTAAGTTTAGCCTGGGACATCGACTTGATGTATATTATTTCCATTGACTGAAATAGTTTGAATGAAAATAGGGGATACAACTGCTTGTTATTCCCTCAAATAATTATGTTACTCTAAAAAAAACCATCACCTACATTTAAGGGCTTGTTTGACCCAAAAAAATCTCATGCCCACGGTTGCCTTGGTTTTTTTGTCCCTTTTATACTCCATCATTTCTAGGAGAGTGCATCCTAAACATCAAACTGTTTCCAGGTTACATGCACTTCTTCAATGTTGAATATCGAACAGTGAATGCTGAACGCTGAATGAGGAAGTAACTTCACATTGGTGATTCTGCCAGCATGTTTTGTCAATACAAAATGACGATGGCACATGCAGGCACATTATAGTTGTAACAAGGACAGATGCTACAGTTGGATGTAGTAACCACACAGGCCGGTCATCTGAGTAACAACTCTAAGAATCACCTCTTTTAACATTTGGACATGGATGGTCATCATGCCCAAATGTTAAGAGGTGATTTGTAGGGTCTCAGTTACTTGGACTAGCAAGCCGATAGGCTTAGTATCACAACATCTTGCCATAAACGAGTGTAATGAACAGGTAGGCTAAGCCTACATGTACATGTAGGTCCCTACTGCATTTTTGACACGTTATCCTCAAAATTTTTAAAGTCACAAATACAT